GACTTCGTCTTTTATACTTTAGATATGTTATGAAGAGTGACCAATCCCTGGAGAAGGACATCATGCTCGGCAAAATGGAAGGTCAGCGAAGGAGAGGAAAACCTCCAAGGAGATGGATTGGTACAGTGGCAGCAGCAATGGGCTCAAACCTAACGACTGTGAGGATGCTGCGGGACTGGGATAGTGTTTCATTCTGTTGTGCACAAGGTCACCTAACAACAACAAAGGGACAAGAGGAGTCCTGGTGTGGTGCTGTAGGATAAGCACTGGTCTGTTAACCACAAAGTCTGTGGTTCAAACTCACCAGCTACTCCTCAGAAATCCTAGACAGAGTTGCTCTGAGTTGGCACTGACTTGACTGCACACAACCGAAGTGGTTACAAATCGGGCTGCGAACCTTAAGGTCAGCAGTTCGAAACTACCAGCCGCTTCACGGGAGAAAGATGAGGCTTTCTGCTCCCGTAAAGATTTACAGCCTTGGAAACCCTGTACAGGGTCGCAACCCACTCGACGGCACTTAACAACAACAACAACAGGAAAAGAAGACTGAATAGGGACTCTGTAATTTCATTCCCAACCGGAATCACCAAACATAACCCTAAATATAATAGAACTTAACCTTAGACATCACCTAAACAAACCCTAACCTTGACTCCTTACACCACCCTTACCCCTTCTACAGATAAACCAGCATTTCTCCACATTGAATCATTCCTTTTGCACTCACAACTTTTGTTATACCTAAGGTGTCCTGGTGTGGCGCTGTGGGTTAATGCGCCGGACTGCAAAGCTGTTTGAACTGCAAGGTCGGCGGTTCAAGCTCACCATTCGGTCTTTGGAAACCCTATACAGGGTCGCTATGGGTGGGAACCGACTCGACGGCACTTAACAACAACAACAAATGGCGCTTTTAGTTACTTAATTTTTATCTTTAAATTAGCCCTTAAAGAATCTAACTTTAGTGTCAGTGGGAGAAACTATATCCCAGAAAACACTGGGGTGTTAAATACAAAGCGATTAAGATTCTTAAAATGTTTCTCCATGTACCATATACATACCTTTACCCCTCATACCTTGGAAAGTTTGCGCCGGACTTTGAAAGGACTGATGCCTAAGCCGTAACTATCACTTTGAAGCGCCACAGCTGCATCAACGCTAGGTCCGGTGGAACTGCAGCGCCCTCTGCTGGCTAAACTGAGAGCCGCCCTAGCAGCTCCTCTTCCTTCTGGGCAGAGTCCTTCTGGGACTTGAGGTTTAGTGTGCACTTTGGCCCACACTTTTAGGTAGAATGTCCTGATTGTGAGGGGTGGAAGAAGGGCATCCTTACACCTGAAGTGTGGGTGGAGACAAGCCTGGGGTCAGAGGAGGAGATTGGACCAAGAGAGGGTCTGGGCCTGCTGGGAGGTGAAGGTTAGGGTTGGGGATACGAAGGAGTCAGAATGAGTCTGGAGAGGGAATAAGGGTGGAAGGGGATAGTCCAGGGCTGGGTGATTGCAGGAAAGGGGTGAGTTCAGGGCAGGAGAAGAGCAGAGCCAGGTAGCCGGGAGGTGTGCAGGTGGATCTAAGAGCAAGGTTAAGGTTGGGGTTAGGTCCAATTTTTTTTAGTGGCTTTCCTGGGGATGCAAATAAGCTCTTGGGCCTCAGAGGAAGGCACTGGAACAGGGCAGGGCAGAGCTGCCACAGGAAGGCTATGTGGTTAAAATTCCCTATCTGGGTGTGATGAGAGCCACCTACTGCTCAGCTGGTAGATTCCCCTGTGCCAGGACCCCCATGATCTGCAAGACGTTTTCTCCCACATCTTGTTCTTTATTTCCCTAAACACAAGTCCATGCACTTTCCCCTATGATTAAATATATTTATTTTTTTATATTTTATAAGCAGTAACATGGTCCTCTTGGTTGTCTATGAAATAATCTCTTATATGTACGTGCTTTTTCATACACTAAAATCATTTTTTTACATACATTTTCTCAGTGGTTCAAACAAAGATCTCACAAGGTAAAAACCACCCACCCATTTTACAGAGGATAAGCTGAGGAACAGATGCATCAGAGTAGGGTTATGGTACTAAGAGGGGATTGAAACGCAGCGTCCTGACTTCTCCCAGGAAACTCCTAAGTAGTTGACACATGTAAATCTGAGATGTAATTTAAAAATGAAGCACAGAATACATACTCAGGATTAATCTTTTTGGCCAAAGGAACAAGCTGAGATGAAAGCGCAGAACTAGATGGTGCCTGGCGATCACTACCAACCGCTCAGAAAGGGGTCACATTAGCAGGTCTTGGATAAAGTGGGAAAAAATGTGAAATAAAACTCAAAATCATAAAAAATTTCCAGGCTTAGTAGTCAGATCCAGAACCCCCGAGACTACAGCCTTTGAGTTACACTTCAAACCTGGAACCAACTCCACTCCTATGGCTGAAATGTCTGCTAAACGGTAGATGGCTATACAAGGTGAAGAGTAACAGTTGGGAGGTATGCACTCCTTAGATTCATCAACCATTCAAGATCAAAAACGAAGTTCAGACGGCAGGAAGGGTTAGAAAAAAAAAAAAAGGGATGAAAACAGGAAGGAAGTAGGATTAGTGACGTTCCATTTGTGGGGATTGTCATCAATGACATGAAACGAAATGTGTATGAATTATTGAATGGGAAACTAATTTGCGCTGTAAACCTTCACTCAATTCGCAGTAAAAAGTTTAAAAACACATTAAAAATAAATAAAATTCTGTTACTGGAATTTGGACATCTGACACAGATAGATTGGCTGAAGACTGGGAACACTGACTAAATCCCAAGTTGAGGGTGTCCCAGGACCACCAATCTGTGACAGACACACCACCGGTGTGTGGCATCCACATTAGTTACACATTGCTAATGTCTCCAGCCTCTTCCTTTCCTTATAAAGGGGTTACTTCCGGTCACTCTGAGATAGAGGGATACACAAGTACCCAGCAGGGCAGTGGGGAGGCTCCTTACTCCCTCTAAGGAGATGATTCTGGAAGTTGACGCTCCCTCCCTTTGGGAGAGGATCCTGAGGCAGGCCATGAGGCATCCACATCCTTGAGGCCCTCAGCACTGAGGGCTCTCGGCTTCATTGTCTCAAAAGACGAGCACAAGGAACTTCTGTGCTAGGCCAGTGACCTTCCCCTATGTTCGGGACTGGGGACACTGCCCCTCCTCCCCAGCCTTTTAAGATTGTCATCTTTATTAAAGGCTGTGACACTGGAGGCAGGGCGAGACCACCCGGCTAGAAAAACTGTGCTTAGTTGTGTCTGAGAAGAGCAACTATTGGGGGTGTAGTTAGAGCTGAGAAGTTGGTAGGTGTTACTCCGTCCAGGACTAGACTGAGCAGTGTGGAGGACCATGGAGAGTGGCACAGGAGCCGCCTTGTCACTGGCTGAGATGGTTGTTAAGAGTCAGACAGTGGTCCCAGACACCCTCCTGCCATCAGCCTGCTTCCCATGGGAGCTTTAGAGTCAGCACTTGCTCTAGCAGACTGATCTCATGATGCCCCTGTGTGTCAGAATAGAACTCAGCTCCGTAGTTTTCAAAGGCTGATTTTCAGACATAGATGGCCAGGCCTTTCTTCTGAGATGTCTCAAACCTGTTTCATCTTCCCATTGGTGGCCAAGCAAGTTAACTGTGGACACCAACCAAGAGACACATGGGATTGCCAGGAACTGGATGAACTAGATGACAACTGGTAACTAGGAGCTCTCATCTCGGTCACAGGTTTCCTTAGTGGAGATTGAGGGCACCCATCGAATGAGGACAATACTGTCATTACCCTAATTTCACAAATATGGAAACTGAGGTCCTAGGGGCTGGAGGCCTTGGCTGAGTCTGTGAAGCCTCACAGAGGCAGAGTCAGAGGAGAGAGGGTGAGGAAGAGATAGTTTCTAGTCAGAGGGGAGGGTGTTGCTGATGACCTTTGGGGATCAGTGGCCTAGGGGTGGGAGGCAGAGAGAAAACTTCCGCTCCTCCACTTCAGAGGTCAGCTGTCCATTCCTACCATACCAGAGCGGCAGAGCTGGACGAAACCTCTGACACCCTCTATGTCAATCAGCCCACACTTGGGCTCAATGAGGGGCCTTCTCAATGCACCCAGTTGGCTAGGCCAGGGTGCTCATTCTTGGTGACTCCACACTGTTTCTCCTTGGAGGGGTGGCCTATTGAATCAAAGGTGCTCACACTTCAGTGTGCCACAGAATCATCCGGAGAGCCCGTGAAAACACAGATTGCTGGGCCCCACCCCAAAGATTCTGATCCAGTAGGTCTGAGGTAGAGCCCAGGAATCTGCACGTCTAACAACCTCTCCAGTGATTCCAATGCTGATGATGGTCCCCAGCTACATTTTGAGGAGTGCTGTGTTAAAAGATGTTCCTTGAAGGGGTTTGGGGGAAAGGGCAGTACCAGAAGGGCAGGGCAATGCTGAGAGGGGTCTGTGTGGCTGTGAGGCACGGTCAGACTTTGAGAGAGGGGCATGCATCCTAGAGTTGGATGTAGCTGGGAGAGGGGTGCAGATATAGCAGCTTCCATCTCTGCAGATATGAGATCCCTTTGGGATGAAAGTGCTCTCAAGGGGAGGCTCACGGAGAGTCAGTGTGGTGTGAAAGGCACTTGGGTACCTGATGGGGAGGTCTGGTGTCCATGGTAGCTGTCAGCAGGTTCCCTGGTGGTGACTGGGGGTCAGGGAGAAACTGTAAAGACACCCATGGAAATGGCAGGTGGGCAAGGTGGGGCAGGGCCCCCATCCCTTCACTCAGGCATCCCTGGTTCTGGCTATGGCTGAGTGCCGGACACAGTGAGGACCTGCTGACAATCCATTGACTCTCCTGAGCCCCCCTTGTAACCTTCTCTGTGGTAATTGTAGAGAATTTGGTTCCAGAAAAGGGAAATTGGTCCTGGGCCAAATGCTGACTGAGGATGGAAGCTCTGGGACTGTTAAGACTGATTAGCCTTCTCCACCCCCAGAGACCTGAGGCCCCCTCCTCTCAGCTCTGCTGGGAGGCACTTTTTGCCAAGCTGTGGCTGGAGAGTGGAGCAGAGATGCCTTCTTCCTGTGCTAACAGGCCTGTGAAGTAGGCACACAGAGCCTGCAGGTCGAAAGCAGGCTGGGTGGGTGGTGAGGCAGCAACCTGCAGGCTCAGGTAGCGACAGTACTTCCTCAGGCCTCCCTGTGGGTCTAGGCGGTGGGAGGCCAACAGTTCCAGGAAGCTCACATTGTGGAGGGCCAGCAGACGGGCCTCTGCCCGGGGCAGGACAGCCGCATGCACCAAGGGCTGCAGGGATGCGAAGCACTTCAGGCTGCAGAAGGAGTAGACATGCTGGGCCAGCTGGGGGCCCGGGATGATCTCAAAGAGGCGGCACAGGTCACGCATGGTGAGCACGGTGGCCAGGGCACTTCGCTCGTTCATGTTTCTCGCCAGGTAGGTCTTGGCCAGGCTTTTGAGTTTGAAGCTGCTAGCCCCGGGCACACACTCCTGGATCAGGGGTAAGGTGGCCAGGAAGCCGGATACAGCCTCTTGGAACTCCCAAAGACTGTTCATGTCCTCTAGGGCCTGGAAGAAGTTGGGGAGGCCGGGCCCCCACAGCTTAGAGCAGGCCAGGATGGGATGACGCATGGAGTTCAGGAAACGGAGGAAATGCCGCAGACCCACCTCCAGCGACACAGCCTTGGAGTAGATGCTGAAGGCCTCAGGCTGGATAAGCACGCGGAACTTACTTTCCTGGTTCACGGCCGCCAACTGGCTAATCTTCTGGGCTGGGCAGGAGAAAAGGGCAAGGTAAAGCACCAGGCACAGCTGACCCCTAGGGCAGCTGACCCATCATCTAGAGACCCCTGGCTCACCTGCTGGGGTCCAGCCCCCACCCCCTGCCCATCACCTGCCTCAGAGTTCAGCAAATCCTTTTGGATCCAGATCTTTCATGTGATTAGCCTCCACCCACCTTCAGGGGAGACGCTGGCCTTCCACTCCCTGCCCGCTGGCCTCCAATTCCATAAATCATTTCACTAAAGCCCCCTCCCTCCCTCTGGCAGAGCCCTGGGACGCAGACAGCAGACCCACCCAGTCCCACTCCATTCAGTGAGGCCCAGAGCTTGCACCTGAGGTCACTAAAAGACTTCCTTATACTCAGAAAACAGCTGCTTCTGTGGTCTGGGTGGACCCCAATGGTGAGTCCATAGCCAAGGGCAGGGCCAGGGCAAGGACAATAGGGAGCAGAGAGGCCCCTAGGAGAAGTGGCGAACTGTCTGGCTTTGGCTGTGGACTCTCTGGAGATAGACTACTGGTCCCATCACAATGAGTTTCCACACTTGTTTCTGTTTAGAAGTGTGTCCCCCAGGCTCTCTCTCGGGGTTATAGAAGTGCTACCTCACACTTCCAGGTAGTGGTCTAGGCATTGGTCCTTACTGAGCCAGCCCAGGGCACACCTGGCCTCAGGTGATATAGAGTGCTTTGCACATGCTGGCTGTAGACCCTGCCAGGGTTCAGGGCTCTCTGAGGTCTCACACACAACTTTGTCTGCACTTAGCTGCTCGGAATCCCTTAACAACAGCACTTAACAACAATATAAAGGCATGGAGTGACTGGCTTACAAGTTTTCATGGGTGTGCTTAGTTTGAGAATGAGGGGAATAAGGTAGAATCCCCACTGAACAGGCTTCCTCTTCTCCAGATGGGGCTGGTGAAAGGGGATGGGGATGATACTGATAGGATTTTATGCTTCAATTGTAATTGTTATCAGGATTAATTGGGATTGTCAAAATTGAAATCTTAGAAGATGTGCAACTAAAAGTGGGGAGGAGTCAGTCTTTCATTTCAGGAACAGATGATCCCAGGACCATCATGAAGGATGAGTGGAGCATGAGAACCTATCTAGAAAAGTGACTATGGCAGAGATGGTAGCAGAGGAGATGGCGTGGAGAGACAGAGCAGATGCGGGCTCTACGCCCGTGGACTGAGAAAGACTGTGTGCCTATGAGCAGAAGGCTGGCTTACAGAATGTGCCCTTTGGACATTTAAATAAATATCTGTCTTTTGTTTTGTAGGTGTACACCAAATATTTTTTGCTTTGTTGATTTGTGAAATATACGATGCAAATGGGGAGTCACAGGGAGGAAGCGGGATAACTTGCTGCAGGAAGGAGAATGCAATCATTGAGCTGAAACAAAATGTATGATTTGCTCAATGTAAAGCTTATGATCTTCACTCAGCACACAATAAAAAGTTAAAACAAAGAAAAACCAGCCATTGAAAACTCTATGAAGCAGTTCTACTCTCACAGGTGTTGTTACGAGTTAGAACCAACTCAATGGCAACTGGTGGTGGCTAGGATCTTGGAAACTGAGAGACTACACTAGAGAGAGGTAGGGAAGGCCGCGGGAGCACCCACTTTCGTCATCAATCTTAAGATCAAAGAAAACCAGAGGACTGTCTTCGGCTGGGAAGTTGGAGATGCTATCATCCAGGACCCTGAGGGGGTTGGCACCCTCCAGCTGGAAGTCACTGGATTCGCTGCTGCTGTCAAACATCTCTTGGGAGGGCTGTAACAGAGAAAACCAACAGGTCAGGGGCTCGCAGGGGACGCAAGGGTATGCGTGAGTGTGGATGCAGGCAGACATCTGTGTGCATTATTGGAGATGGGAGCATATGTGTAGAGGTGAGTGTGTGTGCAGCTGAGGACGTGTGCCTACATATATGCACACGTGCGTGAATGGGGGTGAAGTGCGCATGTGAGGGTCAGGTGAGTGAGCCAACATTTATGCACTAGCGAGTGATGGGGTGTGAGAAGATGTGACGCATGAGTGGTGTGTAAGCGTGAGAGTGGGAATGAACATGAATGGCCAAGTGTTTATGTGTGTGTGCATGAGGGTGTGAGTGTGGAAAACGGTGCTGACACAAGTGTGTGAAAGTGTGAAAGAATATGTGGGTGAGCAGTGCTGGAAGTCAGGAGTCAGGGGCAGGGCCAGCTTCTATGGTGGGCAGGGCCTGAGGGATCTGCTCTTGAGGAGACTCAGAAGAACTTCCGTGAACTTGGGGCAGGAATAAAGAAGATTGTCTTGAACCCCAGATGCTTCTCTGGAAGGTCCAGGAGCTTGGTTTTTATTGTCCCCTGAGCCAACAAGGCCCCAGGGGACAGGGAGGACTGTTTGGTCCCCTGAACTTCACATCTGGCAGACAGACAGATCCCTGGCAACAGAGAGCAGTGAAAGGAGGAGCCCCCAAGCTTCAGAGCTTGGAGAGCTACCCAGGCCCTCCTTTCAGTTAATGTTGATGTCATGGGCTGCCTCTGAGTCCTGGACTCACTGCCCCAGGCTAGGCACTAGAGGCTTGGTCCTCTGCAAGGGTGGGAAGGGAGAAGGGCTCTATCTCTGAGAGTCTCCAGGAAGCTGGGATTATGGAGAAGGCTGAACCTCGGGTAATAAGAGTTAGTTGCACATCATCTGTAAACTGCCAAGCCCAGATGTTCAGTCTTTGGTGGCCAGCACAGAGTCATGTCGTGAATTCCACCTGTGGACACTAGCCAGAGACCAAAAAGAAGGGACATTGCCAGAGTCATGGGGCTGGTGGGGACACTACTGGACAGGAGTCCAGAGCAGACCTCCATATTAGCATATTCCCATAGCCCTTCCTTTGTTCAGGTGAAGCTGTGGTTTTCAAAACACTTCAGGCCAGAGAAAAATCTTAACTGCCCACAACGAAATTACAATGTTTCCAATTTTCTGAGCAATGTTCGATTTTTACATTGTGTTTCATACTCTTCCCAGGCTCACCATCTTCTTCCCGTCATTGATAGAACAGATATTCACTATAAATCCATCTAGAGATGGTTTTCCTCTTTTTAAATGTATGCATTTACAGTCAGAATGTTCCTTAGAAGCAAAGATAACAAGACTTTGGCTCATGTACTTTGTATGTGTCATCAGGAGTGACCAATCCCTGCAGAAGGGCATCATGCTTTGTTCGAGGTCAGTGAAAAAGAGGAAGACCTTCAACAAGACAGCTGGATTAACACAGTGGCTGCAACTCTGGGCTCAAACATAGCAACAACTTTGTGGATGATGCACAGGACAGTGTAAGACTTGTGTTATATACAAGGTCCTTTTTAGTCGGAGCCAACTCAGTGGTAAGCAATACACACAGATCTAACAAGAGACTGTGTCAATTGCCTTGTCTCTACATTGCCTTGGTTCAGCCATGCCATTAAAGGCAGAATGTACGTGTCCTAATGTCTCCCGGACCTGTTCCTCCTCCCCAAAGGAGCTTTCTACAAGAAGTTTTCTTCAAAATTATTGACTGGCTGGTGGACCATAGACTCCGCCATCTTCCCCTCTGGGAGAATCAAGATGTTTTCTGTCTGTAGCCTCCCAGTACTTGTCCAGTCACAAGGCAGTGGTACTTATACTTTGACAGAGGGACTGGACTCCCTTGTTCTGTGCTCCGAGCTCCCTCTCGCCAGTGTCAAGGAAGAGTCCCCTGGGTTGGATCTTCTCTGCCGCCCACTGACATGGTGCTTTGGGTCTTTCACTTTTGTTCTTTGTACTCCAAAACTGCCCCGATGTGCTTCCACGGGTCTCCTTCCATTTGAACTTCAGATGTTTGGATGTTCCTTCTTGGTGCCGAGTCTAGAGTCACACACAATGACTCTTCACCTTTGTATCTGCTCTTCCAAGAGTAGTGCTCCCCATAGTTACACAGCTGTATCCCCAGGCTCCATCTCTAAGAGTTTCCGGAAAGCTGGGGCTATGGGCGAGGCCAAACCTTTGGTGATAAGAGTTAGTTACTCATCATCTGTACAACTGCCAAGCTCTGATGTCCAGTCTTTGATGGGCAGCTCAGAGCCGTGAGGTGAAGGGCTCCATCTCTAAACCAGGATCTTTTAGGATCACTGGCAGAGACACCCACTGTCCTGAGGACTTTTTCCCTTTTAAAGTCACAGGACTGTCCTTTTTCCTGAATGTACTGAAGCTGCCTATATCAGAAAGCCCTGCTGGTTCCTTGTCAATGGAGGGAACGAGGGATCTTTCAGCCCCTACCTCTTCTTCCTCTAAGATTCCTCTAATCTTTGAGGGCTTCCCTAAAGGATGGGGCTGATCTCACTGAGTTGTCTTCCATTTAACTCCAGCGAGCTGTAAGTTCTCAACACCCTCTCTAAACCCCAGTAATACAGCTAGAAAGTAGAGCCTGGGCAGGTCAAGCACATTCTAACTCAGCATAGCAAGCCTAACAAAGAGCACTCAGAGGAGGCAGCTGGGTCTCTCTTGTCATACCGCATATGGACACATCACTCCACCTACATAGAGATGTGAGCAGCATTCCTCTGACCCAGTTCCACAGTTCCTACTTTGGCTGGGTCTTAGCAGCTTTAACAAATCTCTAAGCCCAGGCATAGCACCAGCAAGGCGAAGTTGTTCAAAATGCCACCATCCTAATAATTACAGATTCATTCCATGCTTGGTCATTAGTCAATCAGGCATGAGCCAGATTCTGATACAAAATAGCTAGTCTCTGGCATCAAGGAGGGCTCAGCAAGAGCCCACAAGCTCCTAATGAACTTTCTCCTTCACCCAAGCTTCAGCTATGGCTGGGATCAGTTTAGCAAAACACCTGTGATGCTGTTAGTCACAGACGTGAAACTTCAACTCTTCCAAAATCTGGAAGGCCCTGGAGATAGCTCACTTATATCCATCCCATTAGCTAGCCTGTGGTCTCCACTGCCTGTCTGCTACTGCTCGGGTCCCTGTTCCTCAGGAAGCACAGCCTCCACCAGCCTCCCTGGGGCAGGGGCTATGGAAGGAGCATGTGATGGACATTCACCAGTACTAAAGCATCCTGCCCTGGGCCAGCTGTTTCCTTTCTGGCAGTCATTCGTGACAAAGTGTGTGAGAAGACCTATCTTTTCTGCTTGAGGTCTTAAAATGGAAGTTCCATGGCAGAGACGATGCTGACTCATCCTTACAGTTTATAAGCACTATCTTCTCCCAGCTGCTCCACAATTGCACCGGGGGCTTACCTCTCCACCCCCTGACCCTGGCTCCCTCTGCAGCTCACTTGTCCATCCACCACCTCTTCTGGCAATGGCCAGGTCTTTCACAGAAAGCTCCTTCTCACTCTTGCAGTCTCACAGACCCCATGGGCAGTGCCAGAGCTCCAGCAACAGACATAGCTGAGGCCCAGCAGGGAAGTCCCTAGCCGCCTGGCACACTCAGGAAATGGGATCTCAGCAGGCCAGTGTTTTACAACTTTCACTCACTGAGAGGTTGGATCAAGGATACTGACTAGGAGAGGATGTGGGGAAGTGGCAAATCTGACCTGGTTCATCTCCCTAAGCAGTTTGTAGCAGGTGCACTAGGGGCCTCAGGGATCTAGAGGAGAACATGGGAGGAGGGAAAGGAATATATGAAAATAAACGCAATTAACAATCATACCCACTGCCTTCGAGTCAATTCCAACTCATGACAACCTGCGTGTTAGAATAAACAGCTCCACCGCGTTTTCTTGGCTGTCGTCTTTATAGAAGCAGATTGCTAGGGTTTCCTTCCATGGCACTGCTGGGTGGGCTAAAACCACCCACCTTTCTGTTAGCTGAAAGCAGACTCTTTACACCACCTAGTGACCTAATTCGTTTGCTTTAAAGCATTTTTTTTTTTAATTACATTTTTTTTTTTTTTTTATTTGGGACTCTTGCAAATGGTTGTATTTTAAAACATGCATCTAAAAGCATGCAGTCCTGGTGTGGCACTATAGGGTAAGTACAACCCTATGTAGACTCTGCATGGGTGGGAACTGACTCCATAGCACTTAACAACAACAACAACAGCATACACAAAGGTAGCAGTCCCTGGCTTCCTCCACATAGCAAGTCTGCTTTCCAAAAACGAGCAACTGCTTCTGATTGTTTTAACTCTTAATGACCTAGAATGTCCTTATAACTCTTTACTTCAGTCGTCACCTACAGGGACCTTGTGGATAGCTGAGGATTAGGCTGCCCCCCCCCCCAATACTGCGAGAGTCTCAGTCCCCCACATGATCTGTCTGGGGTGGAGATTGCATATCAATCTTTTTCTCCATCTCTCCCTTCCTGATTTCTACCAACACCCAGGGCCAGCTGTAGCTTTCAGCTATCAAGACTCTGGGATGGGAAAAAGTACCAGGATTTCAGAGGGATTCCGCACTTGGAAATAAAGACAAGATTGGATAAGTGATTGGGTGTGAGGAATGATAAAAGGAAGGCATACTGGGGGATTTGGGGAAGATGGGGGGCGCTGTTCCTGAGAAGGAAGAAAGAAAGGCTGAGTTTGCATGTCTGTGGAGCCATCACAAGGAGATATCAGATCCTCAGCTACACAGGTCTGGCAGGTAAGACTGAGTGCTGAGGCCGAGATCACCTGGAAAGTATAGACCAAAAAGAGGGGCCCAGAACCAAAGCCTGCAGTTCACCACCATTTGGTGTCCTTTACAGATAGAGCTGTTCCATTGCATCCCTGTCAATGTGCTGTTGCAGCTGTTTTTGAATTATCTTTAGCAAAATTTTGCTTGTATGCGATATTAATGATATTGTCCAATGATCCACATTTCGCTGGGTCACCTCTCTGGAATGGGCACAAATACGGATCTCTTCCAATCAGTTGGCCCAGATAGCTGTCTTCCAAATTTCTTGGCAAAGATGAGTGAGCGCCTTCTGTGCTTCATCAGTTTGTTGAAAGATTTCAATTTGTATTCCATGAATCCCCAGAGCCTCGTTTGTTGCTAATGCCTTCAGTGCACCTTGGACTTCTTCCTTCAGGATCATTGGTTCGTCATCATAAGCTATCTCTCGAAATGGCTGAACATGACCATTTCTTTTTGGTATAGTGAATCTGTGTATTCCTTACATTTTCTTCTGGTGGTTTCTACATCATTCAGGAGCTCTGGTAGCATAGTGGTTACAAATTGGGCTGTGAACTGCAAGGTCAGCAGTTTGAAACTACCAGCTGCTCTGTGGGAGAAAGATGAGACTTTCTGCTCCCGTAAAGATTTACAGCCTCGGAAACCCTGTTCAGGGTCGTTATGGGTCGGAACTGACTCAATAGCACTCAACAACAACAACATTCAATATTTTGTCCATAGAATCTTTCAATATTGCAAGTCAAGGCTTGATTTTTTTTCTTCAGTTCCCTGGAGAAAAATTGGAGAAATACTGATCATATTCTTTCCTTTTGGTTTCATAACTCCAGGTCTTTGCACATTTCATTCTAGTATTTGACTTTGTCTTCTTGAGCTGCGTTTTGAAACCTTCTAGTCAGCTCTTGTACCTCCTCATTTCTTCCATTTGCTTTAGCATCTCTACACTGGAAAGCAAGTTTCAGTGTCTCTTCTGACAACTATTTTGGTCTTTTCCTTCTTCTTAATGACCTTTTGCTTCTTCCTGTATGATGTTCTTGATGTCATCCCACAACTCTTCTTCTTTTCACTCATTAGTGTCTAATGAATCAAATCTAATCTTCAGATGATCTCTAAATTCAGGTGGGTTATGCTCAAGGTCATATTTCAGCTCTTGTGGACTTGTTCTAATTTTCTTCAGTTTCAGCCTGAATTTGTATGTGAGCAACTGATGATCTGTTGTACAGTCTGCCCCTGGTCTTGTTTTGGCTGATGATACAGAGCTTTTCCACCATCTTTTTCCACAGATGTAGTCAATTTGATTTATGTGTATTCCATCTGTGAGGCCCATGTGTAGAGTCGTCTTTTATGTTGTTCAGAAAAGGTATTTGCAATGAAGAACTTATTGGTCTTGAAAAATCTATCATGAGCTCTCCTGCAGGTTAGAGGCGATCATTTGCAGTGTTCCTGGAGGAATGACTTTTCTCCAGGAAAGTCCAACCTCCAGGTGGCAGCACAGAGGCGGCAAGGCTAAAGGAAGTGGGGGGGGAGGGGTGGGGAGTAAGAGGACATGATCTCATTAGAGATGGGCTGAGATGGCAGTGTGCTGGCCAGAGAAAGGCGGAAACAGAGAGGTGGGAGGAGCCAGTGGGAAGGAGAAAAGCTGCAGCACCCAAGAAGGCTGAAGAACCAGGATCTTCTGCAAGAAGCAGGAGGCTGTGAGGTCTGAGAGTGTTGTAGGAATGGACAGTTCTTGGAGATGGTGCTGCCCAACCTGTGGCCATGGAGTTGGCAGCTGCAGTTGAATGGGATGAAGATCCCTGAGAGTGATGGGTGTTGAAGTCACCCAGGAAGGACTTGAATGGGGAGAAGAAACCTAGAGGCAGGGGCCAGAGTTTCTCCTACATGAGGCCGAAGGATGTCCCAGATGACTGGGGGAGTAGGGTACACCCAGTGACTGGAACCTCATATCCCTGAGGGATCTGATCTGATGGCAGAGACATCAGTCCAAGGAGCAAGGAGGGCCTTGAGCCCATTTTCCACCTCATGTGCTCACAGGTATGGAAGAAGAGAGGATATAGGGCCTCAGAGGAGAACCAGGCCTCAGGGCAAGAGAAGACAAAAACAGCCTTTAGGGCAGCGGTAAGTCCCTCCACAATCAGGATAGCCAAGGAGTAAGGGTTTACAAGGGTTTTCTTTCAACAACTATTTATTGAGCAGCCGTATAGGCCAGGTCCTGGGGCAGGCAGAGTCATTGCCCTCATGGACTTGGATCCTGGCAGAAGTCCAGTGGCAAAGCTTAGGGTGAGGAAGGGTTGGGGCTACACTACTGTGGGGTGCAAAGAGCTGGCAAAGTTTCCTTCTTGGGCAGTGAGACCCAGAGGTGTGAGGAACGAGAGCCCGAATCTCAGTCTTCCCCTCTCAGCCTGAAGGGACCCATGTCTCCCCACCCAGAGGTCCCTGTAGTCATTCATTGCTTTGTTCAGTCATTGACCAAAATTTATTGAATATTCACTATGTGCAGGGCCTCTAGAGCAGGGCCAGGACTGGAGGAGAAGGACCAGGTCAGGGGTGTTTGGCCATAGTCACAAGAGGATGGTTGCAGCCACACACACAAAAAGGCAGAAGCCCTTGGGGGGCTCGTCTGAGGGGGCATGGGAACTGGCCTGGTAAGGGGCACTCCAGAAGGAGTGGGTGGTGGAAATACAACTGGAGAGGCTCTCAGAGGCGATTAGACTTGGGGATTCTCCACAGGGGCTCTGTCAGAATCACCAGGGGGAGCTCTTGCCTCAAGAATTTGGAGTGCCCTCTCTCCCATCTCAGCACCCCTGGCAGAGGTACCATGCGGGAAAGACACTGAGGAAAGAGGGAGGGCAAAAAACTGGTTGATCCACTGGGTGACTCGGGAACCCCTGCGACCTCGTCGACGCCCTGCTCCTCGAGCCCGGGAGGTGGTCCTTCGGAGGGCAGGACCCTCTTGGACCAGGGCTAACTGGTTGGCAGGCCCTGTGGTGGCTGGGGCAACAAGGCTAGCATGAGTCCACACAGGGGCACGATATGCTCTGAAGGGGAAGCCGAAGGCCTGGCGAACGTAGTTGCCTCTTCGCACTCTGCGGTTGGGGAGGCCAATCCCGCGGTGGATGGTGACAGCGCGTTCCTGGTGACTGATGGGAGGCTGGGTCTCGGGGACACCGGCTTGCTCAGAAAGATGATGGGGAGGCCAGGCTGGGAGGCTGCTCATGTCTTGGGGCAGATGGGAGGCCCAGTGGGTGTAGGGTGTTCCTCGTGTTCTCAGCTGTGGCTGGGCTGTCAGGGAGGGTGGTGTCGTCTCCATGGGTTCCACGCACTTTCCAACAAGAACCTCAGACTGAGGGCTGGAAGGGAACTTAGGGCCACCCAGTCCAACCTTTCACTCTGTTCGGGTCCCTTGTTCCCTTGGACAGGTGACATCCCAACCTACATTAATATATTCCAGGGACAGAAGGGCTACTACCCATAAGGCCATTGGTCCACTGCAGGATGGCTTTAGAGAAGCTCTTTCTTATATAGAGTCAAGACTTGCTCGTGTGGCCCTGTGACCTCTCACCCCTTTATAGACCCTCACTGACTGGGGTTTAACCACGAACCATGGGAATAACTTCTTGACCTGCCCTTGCTGAGGACTTAAGAGGGCAGAATATAAATAAGGAAGCTCCAGACTAAGGCATGTGATATTCTAGAGAAGAGATAAGGCTCCTGCAGGAAACCCACTATCAGCATGGCAAAGGAGTATGTATGGTTACTGAAGGCTCCTGCCCTGGTGTGGTGGGAGGGCCGGGGAGGCCAGGCACACAGCTGGCACGCAGAGGCCATTCCCAACACAGCTCAGGACTCACTGCCTCGCTGCAAAACTCCCCAGGTGCAGGGCGAGTCTTAGAGTCACCTGCTGAGGCTGTGCCTTCTGGGACCTGGGATTGGGGGAGGCAGAAGTCCTGGGGTGAACTGCTGGACCACTCACCGAGTTTTCGGCATCTGAGTCTTCCGAGCTGCTGATCACCACCACGCGCTCCTCGGAAACAGGCATGATGATGCTATTAGGCCCCATCTGAGTGTCCTGGGCAGGCGAGTGGATTGTGTTTGCGGATGAGTTTCCTGTGGAAGGTAGGGTTGGGAGTCTGAATATTCATTATGTATGTCAGGTTGCATTAGTTTTGTATGTGCGGAGAAGTTATTCACAACTGGGTGTCCACTAGTTTTCGCTGTTAATGTTGAATTAGGCTGGTGGCCTGAACTTTAGAATGTGTTCCTTTGGCAGAAGGCTTGACAAACACCACCTGATTTGGAAACTTTGGCAACTCTACCCAAAACACTTTGGCTTGTTGCAATTCTCAGCCCCATGAGCTTAATAATTAGAGTTGAAAGATGGTTCATCTAGTTCATCGAAATCCTTTGATAACCGATAGCATTTGTGAGTATGGAATACCAGTCAGGGATCAGTCTGGACCAGGGTCAGGGCTCAGTGTGTGTCCACGGTCAGGGTTCAGTCTGGACCAGGGTCAGGGCTCAGTGTGTGTCCACAGTCAGGGTTCAGTCTGGACCAGGGTCAGGGCTCAGTGTGTGTCCAGGGCCAGGGCTCAGTGTGTGTCCACGGTCAGGGCTCAGTCTGGACCAGGGTTAGGGCTCAGTGTGTGTCCACGGTCAGGGCTCAGTCTGGACCAGGGTCAGGGTTCAGTGTGTGTCCAGGGTCAGGGCTCAGTGTGTGATCAGGGCCAGGGCTCAGTGTGTGTCCAGGGCCAGGGCTCAGTGTGTGTCCAGGGCCAGGGCTCAGTGTGTGTCCAGGGTCAGGGCTCAGTGTGTGACCAGGGTTGGGACTCAGTCTGTGAGCACGGTCAGGGCTCAGTGTGTGACCAGGGTTGGGGCTCAGTCTGTGAGCACAGTCAGGGCTCAGTGTATGACCAGGGTCGGGGTCCAGGGCTTAGTCTGTGACCAGCGTCTAGACTCAGTCTGGGGCTTGGAATAAAGAACCAAGCTGGCCTCTGGGTGAAGCAGATCCAGGAAGCCAGACCCTCTTGATTCAGGATTCTATGGGCTGACCTCACTCCTGCTCAAGGACCCCGTCTTAACGTTGGTCATGAAAGATATCTTAGACAAATGTGGTCCCTCCGGGAGGGCGGGGATAAGGGGGATGGCCTATGCAGAAAACATTTAAGAAAATGAAGGTTGTAAACTTCATCCAAGCCTTTACCCAGGGCACTCACCAGCAAACATTCCTTGTGCAACGCATAGCACCGGGCACTGTAAGAGTGTACTGGGGAAAGGAGCTATAAAACTTGGTGTTTTAGCCCTGCATGGGGATGCATTTGGATCAGAGCAAAATCCTGGTAAACCTCATGGATTCTCATTTCTAGGTGAACTGTGGGCGCTCCCTGCTCTGCTAGGTAGCAGCTCAGAGCAGGGCACACAAAGGAATAGGCTTGGGTTGGATTTTCCCAGATAGGGGTCAAAATGCAGAAGAGGGATCCCATCCAACCCCTGGAGGACAGCACACAGGCTTCTGCCTCTTCTGCTGTCCCCCCCTCCCTACCTGCCTCCCCAGGCTCGCTGGCCACATGGTTGTTGTTGGGCAGGGAGACTTCATCTCCAGTGGCAGGGCTCCTGGGGCTGGAGGGCCCATCATGGTGAGGCGGTGAGACTGCCGTGGAGGTGCTGGGTGTGGGCTGATTGCTGGGGCTCTGGGACAGTGTTGTCTCTTTCTCCTCTTCAGACTCTGTTTTGATGATTTTCCTGGGACTCTCGGTCTGGCAGAACTTCCTCTTCTGGGGTGTAAGTGGGCTGGAGATCTCCTGTGTAGTGGGGGAGTCACAGGGCCAGGTTAGGTGGCCCCAGGGGCACTGGGATCACTCTTGTGCTCCTGCCCACCATACCTACTCCACTGCTCTCTACCTGGACAGATGGCACCTTTCTTCAGATAGAAAGTCTTCTCATGCTGCTCTGCACTGAGCCTGTCTGCTGCCCACCAACCTCTTCTGGTCTCTGACTGTCCTAGGGGGTCCCAGTTTACCGGTCCATGCTTAGAAGGAGCGTCACAATAGTGTAGCCAGGAGCAAGAGAGGAAATCCACCCAGAAGCCACTGCCATTGAGTTGTTCCGACTCACAGCAGGTACAGGACCGAATGGAACTATTCTGTAGGATGCTCGAGATGGTACATTTTTATGGGGGCAGACAGCCTCATCTTTTTCTCAAGTAGCGGCTGGTGGGTTTTGAACAGCCAGTCTTGCAGTTAGTAGCCCAGCACTTAACTCAATATGCCACCAGAGCTCCTGGAGAGCAGATTGACGCCTGGATTCTCATTCCAGTTGCATCCCTGACTGCCTTGATGGTGGTGGTGGTGGTGAAGTGCCGTGGAGTTGGTTCTGACTCATAGCAACCCTGTATCGGGTTTCTGAGACTGTAAATCTTTAGGGAGCAGAAAATCTCATCTTTCTTCCATGGAACAGCTGGTGGGTTTGAACAGCTTACTTTGTGACTAGCAGTCCTGCCTTGTTAGAAGCTGGGAGACCAGTAGGAAAGCAGTGGGTCCCCCTGACCCTGATGGCGACACTGCAGCTCTATGGAAGGGACAGGAAAATTCAGCAGTTCTGTCCCTGGGATATAAGGCCCAGGGACTATACGGACTGGGTCATGTGGGGTGAGGAGGAACAGACACCAACTCCACATAGGAGATGAAAACACTATCAACCACTTTCGTAAACTTGAACTTAGTGAAATGAGTGACTGTTCTAAAAGTACATACAGCAGATGGGAGAATGAAGTCACTGTGAGGCCTCAAGCTTCATTAGCGTTGCCTGAATACTGTTTTTACAATGAGTGTGTAATGTAAACCATCTTTTAAGGACTCCCCGGCCAAGGCTCAGGATTGACAGGATCGCCTAGATGCTGTGTCAAAACTTGGCGTGGCTTTTCATGGACTGGGCAACCCACACTCCACAGCTGAATCCATGTCTAGAACCAATGTTGATCATGGACGGAACCCTTGGCAGGGTAAGTGGGCGGGCAGCAGCTTACCTCTCTGTAAGAGGGGTCATTGATGGAGAATGCAAACAGCGGGACTGGGTATCCTGTGGGCACTTGCTCGACCACAGTCACTGGCTGGGTCTCAGACAGCCCCAGGGTCTCCTCTGGAGTCGTCTGTACCTCCTCAGGCTACAACATTGAGAAACAAGAGAGTCAGAAATGACCAGGTGGCAGACCCAGGTGCAAGTGCAGGCTGCCTGATCCAAAGCCACGAGCCCAACAGACACAAGAACCCTCCCCAAATCCTCCAAGACATCACCTCCTTCGGACCTGGGAGTGTTGGTGGCCAGGGACTACTTAAATTTATGTGTGTACTAAAAGGGCTAGGAGATCACACTGCCCAACTGTTTCCCATGCTAGCCCCATTTACATACCTCCAGGGACAAAGAGCTCACTTCTGATAAAAGCAGTTCCTTCCACAGCTGCACACTTGTAACAGTGAGAAAACCCTTCCATTGAGCCGAAAGCATCATCCCTGTGTTGCAGACCGTGTAGGCCTGGTCAGAGGTTCGAGGCCCTATAGGCCCGAGTGTAACAGATCTAGCCACTTGGCAGTTAGTGGCAAATTGTTTTTCATCTTAATATCTAGTTATGTTTTATTAATTGCAAATATGAGCCCTTATTATCCACAGAGAAATATTAGAACCTCCTAAAGCCGAGACTAAAGGTTTCAAAGGTCAAGCCTTTCTCCAAAGGATTAACTAAAAATATCTTAGCTACTTCTCGGTTCTTTGTTCTATAGACAAAGAACCCATCCTCCCTAATCCCTTTTCCAGGTGCAGCCCATTCACCTGGGAGTCTCCAGTCCTCCTGAAAACCTGGCTCAGGAGGCCAAAGCAGCAGAACTCCCCCCAAGCTTTTGTCCTTACCTCTCACCTTCCCCCAACTTAGCTCAGGGGCTATAGATATGTTAATTGAGCCTGAGAAACCAAGTTGCTGGCCTGGGATTCGAACCAGTGAAGTACGTACGATGTAAAGTTACCTAAATGTCTAGAAAATTACTGAAATTAGCTGTACCTTGCCTAAGTCCCTCCCAGCTTGGTGTGAAGCTCCTCTCTTAAATAAAACAGAGACCCGGGCCTCCCCAGGTGTGCATTACAGATTAGAGGGCATGCAGTAAAGATTGCAGTGCATTACGGGTTGGAGGGCATGCAGTAAAGATTGCAGGGCAGTGAGTTGCTGCCTGCAGAGGCCATGATGCCTGTAGTCCCACGCCTGCCCACCAGTGATATATCCACTCTGGCTTTGGGTGCCTCATTGTCCCCCTTCTTCTGTCTGTCTGTGTATTCTTTTGCTATCTTTACCGCCACCAGGTATCTCCTCCTCGTGAACCGAACCCCTATTTCGAGGCCAGTCCCGGACATCCCTGTGATGTTAACCATACCTGAGTCATCCAAGCTCGCATTGGGTCTCACTCGCCTTTCATAACATGGGAATAGTGATATTTACCTCAGAAGGTTATATGAATTACATGTGCTAATGTAAGTAAAATATTTAGAACAACACCTGGTATTTATAAGTGTCATATAGTAACAGTTACTATTTTTATTACTACTCTATGGTAGGCAGGGGTGATTTCTCAAAAACTTAAAACACAGAATTATCTTGGTGCTGATTATGTGCCGTGGAGTCGGTTCCGACTCACAGCAACCCTGTACAGGGTTTCTGAGGCTGTAAATGTTTACAGGAGCAGAAACCTCATCTTTCTCCCACGAACAGCTGGTAGTTTCGAACTGCTGACCTTGAGGTTAGCAGCCCAGTTTACCACATGACTCAGCAATTTTAGTCCTAGGTATAGGCCCCAAAGATATGAAAACAGATGTTCTAACAAATCCTAGTATGCAAATGTTCATAGCAACTCTATTCAAAAGAGCCAAAAGGTAGAAACAACCCAAAGGCCCATCAGCAGATGAACAGCTACTCCAACTATGGTGAACACATACGATAGAACGCGTGTTGTTGTTGTTGTTGTTCAGCCATAAAAGGGAACGAAGTACTGACACATGCTAAATGAAAGGAGCCAGACATAAAAAGTCACAGACTGTCTGATTCCACATACATAAAGTATCCAGAATAGGTAAGTCCATAGAAACAGAAGGGACATTAGTGGCTACCAGGGGGCTGTAAGGAAGGAAGTGGAAACAAACAGCTTAACTGGTACAAAGTGTTCTTTGTGGCGGTGAAATTGTTCTGGAACTAGATAGTAGCAATGGTTACGAACAGCGTGAATGTACTAAATACCAAAACCGAATCGTTAAAAACGGTTAAAAAGGTAAATAAAAATTTTTATGTGAATTAAAAAAAAAATTACAGAGAAGGAAACTGAGGCACAGAGGAAGTAACTTCCCAAGGTCACATGTCTAGAAAGGGCCTGCAGGAGGCTTGAGTCTAGTGTTTCCTAAAGCAAGTCCCCTCCCTGCCCCTGTGTGTGCTCCCTTCTCTTTAATCACTGTCTGTATTTCCTTCTCATCTTTCTCAAGATGTCCTGGTGTGGAGCTGTAGGATAAGTACTGGACTGCTAACCACAAGGTTGGTGGTTCAAACTCACCAGCTGCTCCTCAGAAACCCTGTACAGGGTAGCTGTGAGTCAGAACCGACCATACAGCATGGAACAACAATGTCTTTCTCAATTACAACACGGAGTAGAAGCGAATGTACACTGGGCTGCTTGGTGGAAAACAGCCAGCAGCATGTGACATGCTCCTTCAAAGGGGAAACCCAAACTCAGGAGTTCTGGCTTGTTACTCCTGCCTTCAATCCTGATGCCTTGGCCTTACAGCTCTTGGTGCCCAAACCCCATGTGTGCCCAATGGATGACCATCCAACAGGGGTCTGCTGTAGAGGGAAGGGATTCCCACGGCGGGAATGGCCCTTTATCCAACAGGTACTTGAATGTACAACAATCAGGGCCAGGGACATACTTTCTTCATGGGACTTCTAAAGGGACCTCTCTTCCAGTTCTGTGGTAGATTATGGGGTCAGGCCCACTGCCTCAGTGGGGAACACCAGGGCCTCCTTAAATTACTGGCCCAAGTCTGAGCTGACATGTGAATAAAGAGGGTCCCTGGTAGAGAAGTGTCTGCTATGGTGGTACCCAAAACTGGTGGCTGGTGGTACACAAAAGTTGGTGGCTGGGTTTTTCTTAGTCTCAAGTGCTGTGATGTGGGCTTTCATTCCATTTACTATAATGGAGCCCCCTTTCCTTTCCTTCCTAACCCCTCATATGGACTGAATTATTGTTGTTGTCAAGTGCCGTCGAATCAATTCCGACCCATAGCGACCCTGTATAGGGTTTCCAAGGAGTAGCTGGTGAGCTTGAACCATCAACCTTGCAGTTCAAACAGCTTCACAGTCTGGCACATTAACCCACAGTGCCACATCCCCCCAAAACATGTATCAACTTCGTGATGTGCCTTCGAGTCGGTTCCGACTCACAGTGACCTGCACAGGGTTTCCGTAAATCTTTACGGAAGTAGAAAGCCTCATCTTTCTCCTGTGGAATGGCTGGTAGTATCGAATTGCTGACCTAAAGGTTTGCAGCCCAATTCGTAATCACTGCACTACCAGAGCTCCTTATGTGTCAACTTGGCTAGGCCACAATTCTCACTATTATGTAATTTGCCTCCATTTGGGATCTGATGTAATTATCCTGTGTTGTAAATCCTCACCTCTGTGGTGCTAACAAGGAGGATTAGAGGGGGTGATGTTGATGAGGCAGGATACAACTACATGATTAGGTTGGATCTTGGGTCATTCTCTTTTGAGATATAAAAGAGATTAAACAAGCAAGCTCTGATCAAAGGGAGCTCCTGCCACCAAGAAAGAAGAGGCAGGTGCAGGGTGTGTCCTCTAGTCTGGACGTCCCTGTGCTGTGAACTTCCTAGGCCCAGGGAAGATTGATGATGATCTCCAAGAAACACTAGGCCCAAAGATGCTGAGAGGAGACAAGGGGCTTCCTCCAGAGACAACAGAGAGACAAAGCCTTCTCCTAGACCCAGCATTCAGGATTCAAACTCCTAGCCTCCTAACGTGAGAAAATCTATTCCTGTTTGTTAAAGTGATCCATATCTGGTATTTCTGTTATAGCAGCACTAGAGAGCTGAGACACCCCACTCTCCTTCCATTACTGAGTTTCTTTACAAAAACAAAGGCATGTCTGCCTTGAACACTGAGCTGTTTTAAGAGCTATTTATTCGGCACCAGATTCACAACATCAACTCGAAAGATTAGAATAGGAACTTTAGGGGGCAGTGAGCTGATTATGTTCACAATGGAGGAACAACCCAGGAAATGCAAGAGAGAACAGTTGTACAACGTAATCAACTTTACTGAACTGTAGAAAGTGTTGAATTGCATGTGCTTTACTCTGTATAATCTCAACAACTTTTTTTTTTTTTTAAAGGAAGAACAGCTAATGGAGTCAGAGACGCCATTCTACATGGGTGTTTCCTAGGGTCAGAGGCATTTACACATTCTACAATCACCACTGAACTCACTACACTGGTGTTTTTCAAATTATTATTTGTGGTACATAAACAGACCATGTGAATCAATTTAGTCATGACCAGCATTTTGAAATTTAAATAGACTAGTACAGGACAGAAAACTGCGGAGTACATCCCATGTAGGGAGAGTAACTTGTTTTCTGAACCGTCTCTGTTAGCGAATGGTATGTGTGTGTACGTGTTGGTGCTAATTGCTGTTGAATCAGTTCCAATTCATGTGGCGCTGTGGGTTAATGAGCCAGTTGAACTGCAAGCTTGGTGGTTCAAGCTCACCAGCTGTTCCTTGGAAATCCTATACAGGGTCGCTATGGGTCGGAACCGACTCGATGGCACTTCACAACAACAACACCATAGTGTTTCCAAGGAGCAGCTGGTTGGTTTGAACTGCCACCTTGCAGGCCAGTGCTTATCCTACAGCGCCACACCAGGAGTCTGTGTGTGTGTGTACAATGAGGTTAAGATGTAAAGTACAATTTTTATACTGGGTAGTGATTAAAAAACAAACAATAACAATAACAACAACAAAACAGTTCAAAAGACTCTATCTTCCTACATCTGACTGCAAACTGTTGGTGTGTACAAGATTGCTTTTCTGCTTGGCCCACTGAGCTCCACGTCCTCTGTGTCCCCCACCCTACTCCCACCCCAAGTGCTATAAAGCACTGAACACACATAAGAACCCTACAAAGGAAAAAACAATCATGACTGATTTAGAGTTGCTTTATAGCTTCTAAAAAACAAATTTAGCCTCGGCAACCTAAGACAGAGCCATTGCCATGCTGCAATGAGTTTCGATGACGAGTAAGACTGAGGAATTTGCACTGACCGCCTAAGACAGGCAGCGTCCCTTAAACAAATAATAAATAAGGGGGAATCTGATGCAGACCGTGCAGACCCGGTCAGGAGTTCAAGTCCCTGTGGGTCCAGGCATTGCAGACCCTCCAAACCATAGGCTCTGAGGATCAGACTTTAGCCACCTAGCAGACATAGCAAAATGTCCCTTTTCTGATTATTCAGTTATGCTGGTAGTAATCTCATACATGAGCCCTGGATACCCACAGATAAATGTAAAAACCTTCCCTAAAAGCCGAGACTGTAAATTCCAAAAAGGCAAAGTTTCCCCCCACACCCAAAAAAAAAGCTAAAGAGGACAGAGAGAAACTGTTAACTGATGGTATGTGGAGGGGATTATAATCAATATAATGAAACAAGGTATATGAATGTTTGAATGTGAAACTGATGATGTGCCCTGAAAACTTTCACTCAACCCACAATAAAAACCTTAAAAAAAACAAAACAAATTTAGGTTTCCCATGAAAGTATTGTAACGCCATTGCAAAAAAAAAAAAAAATATATATATATATATATATTAGGCCTATGAGAAAAAAAAGGAGGGAAAATACATGGGCCGCATTCACAATGAGATTCCACAATGCCCCCCTCTGACCCCCACTGTCTGTTACCAACGTGAAAGCAAGAGGCTTCGCAAAGGACCAGTCTTCTGATGTCCCAGGTTCAAAGAGCTCAGTAGCTGAAAGAGAGGCGCGGTCTGCTCGGGCTTTATGAGGGGATTTACCAGTTGCCATACGGTTACTCTGACTCATGCTGACCCTATGTGCGTCAGAGTAGAGCTGTGCTCCAGTGGCTGATATCTTGGCTGCAGATCATCAGGCCTTTCTTCTGAGGTGCCCATGGGTGGACACAACTTCCAACCTTTTATTAGTAGCTCAGTGCCTTAGCCACTGGCACCACCCAGGGACTCCTTATAAGAGCAAGGCCCACCAAAATGTCTAGATGTATTTACAAGGCAGTATGGCCTCTCTTGCTATTTTTGTTTGTTTGTTTAACCAGTGATTACTGGTACCTGGAGTCTGAATCAACTCTCAACGGCAGTGTTTTGGTTTGGTACCTGGAAGGCAGCCGGGAACTGTAGACATTACCATTTTTATAGAACTTATTTGGTGGAAATTAGTCACTGTAGCATTGTTTGTAATTCCTGAACAACCTAAATATGCACTAATAGTGAACTGATCAAAACAAAGTATGGTACGTTCGCTCAGCCGACCACTCTACAGCTTCAAAAGAGACTGGCAGCCCCAGTCTCTGACAGTCACTAACAACAAAGTCTCAGAAGCTAAGTCTTGCCTCTTCCAGGAAGCCTCCTGATTGCCTCCACATACAGCAAGCGCTTTCTCCTATGGGTCACACCATGTCAAAGCTACAAAGGCTTGTCACCACCCAACCACCCAACTGAAGACCTGCTTTCCAGGGAGGACCAGTCAGTCCTGGGCCTAGAACCTAGAGGGGCTGCACACATGAGTGTTTCTAAACAGAATGGAAAGGAGAGCAGATGTCATGTCTAGGAAGGAACTGAGGAAGCACATCCTGGTGAACACCATAGAGGGCAGGCCAAAAATGTTGCCATGGAAACAGCTACCTCAAGAAAGAGGGAGCTCCCTGTCCCTAGAGGTGTGTGCATGCAACAGTCCCAGGTCGGGGCTCTGGTGGCAGCTTCCAACCATGACTAGCTATGGCTCTTAGATAAGTGCTGGTCCTAGAAACCGGGTGGTGGAGCCAGGCTTCTGGAAGGGAGTCTGACTCTTGACCTCATTCCCCATTCCTCTCTAAGATACATGTGTCTGGAGGAAGGGACCCACATATGTTGACCCCAGAAAAAGGCTCACATAACTGGGTTGGGGCACAGTAAAAGGATAGTTCATTGGTAATCAGGGTCATGCAGCAGTGACCACCTCCTCCATGTCTTTCCTGTCTACCCCTGGACCTATACCACCTCTCCTGAACCTGCCTCCGGTCCCATAACGAGCTACTTTGGCATTCAGGAGGTCAGAGTCAGGCAGCCTTTCCTGGATGTCTTCTTGTACTCCCGGCCGATCACTTGCTGTCCCTCTCTCCAGCACTCTCTCTCCTTCGTTCTACATACACTCGGCACAGCAAGTGAGCTTCCTTCCTGACATGGAAACGCCCAACCCACGTGACCTGCCAGTCCCTACTGCCTCCCCTTCACACCTCAACCGCATCTCACCTGGTCAACTTCACGAGTGTCAAGAGCATTGCTGGGCGTGCTGGCAGCCTCTGGGCTGGCACTCCTGGGTTGAGCTGCATCTGGAGAACACAAAGAAGGTCTCAAGTATGTCAGGGCAGTCTTGGTAAGGAGCGTCCTGGTCAGGGACGGTGACAGGGACAATGTCACCATTGCTTTGCCTTGAGATTCATCTGCCAGGACATCATGCAGCATAGGAGCAGTTTCATGAAGGGGCTGGCATGGCAATTAGTGGGAAAGCTCTCTCAGCTACAGTGGGTATGAGCCCAGCATGAAGGGAGAGTGGGTGGCATTTGAGGGTGCGTGCCATTAGCCCCCAACTCAAGTGCGCCTCTCTCCATTTCTGGGCCACCATAGCTACTCACCAACTTCTCTACATTCAGCAAGAGCGAGTTTGGCGGGGGCCATGTCTTCACGGAACGGAGCGGCGGGAGACCCTGAGCATGGAAAACTCATTGTTAAGCAAGGCTACAATGAGTCTCTCCTTGGAAGGCAAGGTCCCGAGGAGAAAACAACATGCAAAGACCCTGCAGCAGTTCTTGTTTCTTATGAAGAAATCATTTTTAATTTTTAACACCTCAATAGTAGTTCTTGATTTTTATAAAGAAATTTTTAGGAGGCTTTTCTATGATTCTATTTAGGGTACAGAAATACACTCAGAAGTTTTTACACTGTATTCAATCATGTGTAGTTATAATAATTGCTTTCTTAAAGTAACAATGAGTTTCACCACTAGGAGAAACCACACCAGCTAAAGCACTGCCAATTCTAGTTTAAGATTATAATCAACATCCTGTGTAGTTTCGGTCAGGGACATTAAGACCCCTAGAAAACAGCTAAGACGCAATTAAGGGCTGTGGGAACACGTAAGAATATCAGTAGAAATTTAACTAGATGTTTTTAGATAGAGATATTGTTAGTGTGGGGAAGTTATTCCGTTTATTCTTAACTAAGAAAACTGTAAGTACTTTTTATGCTCTTGTTTTATTATTAAATCAATTATAAGTAACTGATATATATGACCAGTTATGGTAAAAATACTGCTTTGATTATGAATTGTGATTAATGAATCTATAGAAAATAATAGATGAGGGTAGGGATAGAAGTTAAGATTTAGAACTTTCTTTGAAGGTTAACTTGACATTTTAGGGAGGATTAGAGAAAAACAGAATCATTTATGGAAAACAGACGTTACCAAGGTAGTTAGGGAGTACAAGGAAGCAAGATATGAAAAGATCAAGGAAAATATTTTGACGTTCTTTGATGTAACTTGAAGTTACATCAAAAGGAATCAAAAGAAAATGTAATCACGAAATAGATTATAGTTTAAAGAAATTGATTACTATGAAGCCATTGTGTATTGTAATGGTATATTGTTGTTGTTGTTAAGTGCCGTCGAGTCGGTTCCGACCCATAGCGACCCTGTACAGGGTTTCCGAGGGTGTAAATCTTTATGGGAGTAGAAAGCCTCATCTTTCTCCCGTGGAGCGGCTGGTAGTTTCGAACCGCTGACCTTAAGGTTCGCAGCCCGATTCGTAACCACTACGCTGATAAACAGCTGATCTTGGGAATTGTAACCTGGCAGTGGCAGAGAGAGAAATCATTGTATTCTCTCTCTGCCACTGCCAGGTTACAATTCCCAAGATCAGCTGTTTATCATCACTGGGGTCATTTTCTGCGTATGGGGGTGTTATTCACTGCCTGGTTGGAGAAGGCACAAGTGTCCTGTCCATTCTTTAGAGTCCACACCCCTCGGCTCCAAGAAAAGGAGGGGATGAGCCTTCCATCACTGGCACCTGCCTGGAGCCTTCAGATTCTGTACTCTCCCCCCACTTTCTCAGTAAGGGCACTTCATACCAGCTGTCCAGAGATCGGATTCCAGCTTAGAGATTTAGTCTCACTTAGGCCACCCTCTTGTTCCCCACTCCCAATTATCCCAAGAGCCCCAATGACATCGTCAGCTCATACAGAGCTTCTAGAATTCCTGGAGCACAGAGCCAAGTATCTTAGGGGCTGTATGATGTGCCCACTGCCTGTCTCCCAGTGAAACAGGTCAGGAACTGGTCTGCTGTCTCTTCATCCCCAAATGCCCAATACCAGGAGGGTCTTCAAAGTTTGATAGCTGGTCCAGGTGGCAGGCCACTCTGGGAACAAGGGGTCACCTCCACTGAGTACTGACTGGTTGGGACAAGCAGTTAACCACTCTGAGGAGTTTTCTTAGCCTCCTTCCGCCCTAAACCTCATGCCCCAGTTGGCATCTCTGTTCTTGGACACAGACCTTCTGCAGTGGTCAGTCATGCTGGGGCCAAAATGATACCAGAATCTAGTTCTAAGCTTTGAGTCTCAACTGCCCATGTTCCCCAAGGGGCACAGTTGATTCAGAGGGTGCTTTGTTTCAATTACCCACCTCTAGGTGCCTGCAATCCTTTGTCAGGGCCTCATATCCTTGATCCTGCACCCATGGGACCTGACTAATCCCAAGAGGCTTAGTAAAAACTCAGTTTTTGTTTCTGTTAATGGAGATGATCCTTTCTGATCTGTCTTCCCCAGGGGGCAACTGTGAGGAATAAGCCCTTTAAAAATGGCACACAGGCTGCCACCTTGACTTGGATCCGAGCGCTTACCTGTCTCCTGGGCGATGCTCGAAACCAGGCCCTTCAGGCGTTTCTTGAACTCCTCCTTGAATTCCTCAAAGCTGTTGGTGTAGACAGGGACTTGCAGGCTCTGGGGCTCCTCCTGTCTGAGGTGGCAGAGTGCCTTGTGCAGAAAGCTGTGCATGTCCAGTACCTCCTGGTCTGAGGCATAGCGCTTCATCTTCTGCACTAGCATGCCCCCCATGCGGATGCGCTGCAGCACGATGTCCAAGTGTTCCAAGAGTTTGATGATCTCTTTGTTGTCACTCTGATACCGCGCCTCTACGCTCTGGAGCAGCTCGTTCTCTAGGGCCTGTACTTGTTGTACCACCTCGCTCACCCGCGCCTGGATCAATTTCTCTGTGTTGGCACGAGCCTTGCCCAGCTGGCTAATGACTGACTGCAGCTGAGTGCGTGCAGCAGCGAATGCGCATTCTTGCTCTTGCAGAGCCTCCGTCATGGTGTCCAGATCCTCCTGCCGCTGTTTGATCTCCACACTGATGTCGCACTTGTCCTCGCTGTGGTCTTTGTCCAGGAGAGCACACGAGCAACACAGGGGCTTGGAGCAGCCCCGGCAGTAGATGCTGCGGACATACAAGACCGGCTTGGTTTAGGACTCTCGCACTTTCTCTCCCCTCTTCAAATCTTGGTGGTTAAATGCATCAAAAATTATGAAACTGAATCATGGTATGTTTCTAGATTTGTGCTTTTCTCAATGCAATTTTTGTGACTACGGTGTTAGTATCCAAACTACTGAGAAACTTAAAATATTAAAGAAATCACTTCTTTAAGTTCTTTAATAGCTAGCCTTCATTCAAGAAGCAACGTAAAGATAAAGAAAAAGTTAATTTATTTCCACCACAGTCGGAATTTCTCTTCTCCACATCCAGCTAACCATGTGAGTAGCTTGGGGTGCATCCTTCCCTATCTTTCTTTACTCAGACCACCTTACAAAAATAGCCAGAGGGTGCTGCTTCCAGTATTCTGAGGACATGATATCTTCATACCATTTCAACTGCACAAGAACCTGTTAGTCTAGAGTCTCCTGGAACTACTCCACCAATTGGCATATCATATTTCATTAAGGTAATATTCTACAGTTGTGTAACAAAAAGGGGGGCGTAGTTAATCTTACAGTCCAGTTATACAGGACCTTAGGATCATCAAGAGAGAAAAGCATGAGTGGAAGGTGGGATACTATCCAGAGAAGCAGCAACAACCGAAATGGAGGCAGATAGCTGCTGAGTTCTCTAGACTCAAGGAAAAAGAAAGGTCGTGTGCTGGCAGGCAGGAGGCTGCCTTGCAGAATGTGCCCTTTGGTTGTTTGAACAATTATGTATTCCTGCGTGTTTTTGTGTACATAAAAAAAAAAGAGAGAGAGAGAATAGAGGTAAATACTGTTAACTGGTAATGCATGGAGGATGTTGTAATCATTGCAATGAAACAAAATGCAATTGGTTGAGTGCAAAACCAGTGTTCTCTCATGTAAACTATCACTGAATTCACAACAAAAGCTTAAAAAAGCCTCTACATCCTAGTTGATTGGGTAGTGCCTGGGATTCTCAAAGTCTGTAAGTGAATTATAATTATTGATAATTATATAATCAAAGAAATAATTATTGATGTCTTCTTCTCTGGGGCAGAAGAAAATGAAGGAAACTAAAGCATCAGAGAAGAAAGCAGTCCACAGTACTAACAGCTTACATGAACCATGGCTCCCACTACCAACCATTCTGACCAGGGACACAACAGAAAGTCCTGGATAGAATGAAAAGAAATGTAGAACAAAACTCAAATTTCTTAAAAAAGACCAGACTCACTGGACTGATGGACACTAGAAGAACTCTCAAGACCACTGCCTAACATAATTCTTTTAACTTAGAACTGACGCCGGTCTCGGAGGTCTCCTGTCAGCCAAAGAATAGACTGGTTTATAAAATAAACAATACCATTCAGGAGAAATGTGTTTCCTTAAGTAATCAACTGTTGTTGTAGTTCCGACCCATAGCGACCCTGTATAGGAGCAGCTGGTGAGCTTGAACCCCCAACCTTACAGTTCAAATGGCTTTGCAGTCTGGCACATAAAACTAAACAAGCAACATTTCCCCAAAAGCAAAGAGAGAAAGCAAGGAGGGGTGGAAAGCCAGATCAATGGAAGCAGAACAAACAGACGGGAAATAATGAGAATACTGGGACATTGTAAAACTTGTACACAGTATGACTGAACAAGCTGTATAAGAATGTAAAATGGGACCCTAATTTACTGTGTAAAACTTTCACCTAAAAAAAAAAAAAAGTTAAAATGAAAGAGAACCTGTTAGTAAGAATTACTGTTATCCTTGTTTCTCAGATAAAAAACTTGAGTCATATGTTGTTGTTGTTAAGTATCATCAAGTCGGTTCTGACTCATAGTGACCCTGTAAAGGGTTTCCTAGGAGCGGTTGGTGAATTTGCACTGCTGACCTTGTAGTTCAAACCGACTTTGCAGTCCTGTGCATTAACCCACAGTGCCACAAGTTAAAATGAAAAAGAACCAGTTAGGTAAGGATTACTGAATAACTGCTATCTTTGTTTCTCAGATATAACACTGGAGTCCTATTTGCTGTTGTTGTTGTTAAATGTTGTCGAGTTGATGCCACCTCATAACGACCTGTATAGGGTTTCCAAAGAGCAGCTGGTGAGCTTGAGCCACCGACCTTTCGGTTCAAATGAATTTTGCAATCTGGCACATTAGCCCACAGGGGGTTAAATAATTGACCTAATTAGTAATTGACTTAATTACCTAAAACAATTTGGGAGGGAACTGATGTTTGTTCTTAAAAATGACCTCATACTATGACATTATTTTGTAACATCCCCCTCTGACTTCCATCACAAACATTCCTCCAGGTCTAACGGTTAATACCAATATCATATCAATTGCCAAAGAGTTCGTTTTGACTCGTGGCAATTCCACACGTGTCAGAGCAGAATTATCTCCAAAAGGTTTTCAGTAGTAAAGTCTTCAGAAGTAGATCACCAGGTCTTCCTAGTTTGTCTTAGTCTGGAAGCTCCGCTGAAACCTGTGTATGTTATTTGTTGTTGATCATTGTTGTTGTTAAGTACTGTCGAGTTGGTTCTAGCTCTACAGGGTTCCCAAAGAATAGCTGGTGGCCTTGAACTACCAACCTTGTGGTTAGGAGTCTAGTACTTATCCTATAGTGCCACACCAGGAGCCCTTGTTGATACATAGGTACCGTCAAGTTAGTTGCGATTCACAGCGACTCAGCTATAGAAAACAGAACAAAATGCTGCTGGACCCTGAGTCATCCTCAAAATGGTTGTTATACATGATTCTACTATGCAGTCACTGTGTCAACCCATCTCATTAAGGGTCTTTTACTTTTCTGCTGACCCGTTACTTTGCCAAGCATGATGTTCTTCTCCTGATAACATGTCCAAAGTATGTGAGAGGAAGTTTCAGCATCCTCACTTCTAAGGCGCATTCTGGCTGCACTTCAGCATCAGAGAAATGCACAAACCTCCACTGACAAGCAGGTAGTGGCTAAGCATTAGGTGCACTGGCCTGCATTCCAACCCAGGTCTCTCACATGGAAGGTAAGAATTCTACCACTCTGCAACCCATGCCCCCTCTTAACAAATACTACGATGACTATAATGAAATGCAAGATTATGAACATCAATACCACTATTAATTAGAATTGCTGAGCAATAAGAGTCCTTGTGTGGCGCTGTAGGATAAGCACTGAATTGGTAACCACAAGGTCAGCTGTTCAAATCCACCACTGGCTTTCAGAAATGTATACAAGGTTGCTATGAGTCAGAACCTACTTGATAGCACACAATAACAACAACAAAACGATAAAGACAGCATTTATCGGCAGTGCAAACACTTGAGTAAGCACTTGATTACTAGTCAAATGGTTGGTGGTTCAAACCCTTCTAAGACGCATCCTAGAAGACAGATCAGGCAATCTGCTCCCCAAAAGTTACAGCTTTGAAAACCCTATGGAACAGTTCCACTCTGCATATACGAAGTTGCCATGAGTTAGAATCGACTTGATGGCAATTAACAACAAATTGTTGTTGTTGTTGTTAAGTGCCGTCAAGTCGATTCTAACCCATAGCGACCCTGTATAGGGTTTCCAAGGAGTAGCTGGTGAACTTGAACCACCGACTTTACAGTTCAAATGACTTTGTAGTCTGACATATTAGCCCACAGCACCACACCAGGACTCCGTAACAACAAATGTTGTTGTTAAGTGACATCGAGTCGGTTCCAACCCATAGCGACCCTGTATAGGGTTTCCAAGGAGACGCTGGTGAGCTTGAACCGTCAACAAATAGGGGTCTGGAAATAAACAAAAGACTAAGAGAGACCAGTTGTCAACTTTCCACTTTGGATGCAAGGGGAGAGGGTTGAGATTGGTGTTGGACAAACTTCCTGAGGAAGAATTTTCTAAGCCTGACAGGCATGGGATATCCACCAGCTTCAGCCAGGGTCCTATTTCTAAGCACCCTCTGCCCCAAATGGGGATTCCCTAGAAAGCTGATTACTCAGCTCCTGCTTTATGCAAATGGACAATTGGCAATAGGTCTCTGAGTTGATCAGTCCAAACCACTTCCCCTGAATCCAATAAATCTCAGCAATCTGTTAAGATAAAGGTACAGACTCTGAATTGGGGTGACCCATCAAGGGCCTGCCACCCAGGGCCAGGACTAACCTCAATCCTTAGCCTAATGATTTTTTCACCTTCACTCAAGGGCCAATCCTTGAGCCCCTGCCATGTGTTTAACATTTTAGGGGAGGCAGGAATGAGGTGGGCACTTGCCCTCATGAACCTCTGTGATCAGAACCCAGAATTAACAAAGAATTATCTCAGGAAAGCCATATGCAAAATGACAGGCGTTTGCTCTTAGAATACGCAGAAGAATCAAGTGAAACACAAAAGAGTTAATAAGAAGTTGCTCAGTCTAATAACCGAGTTACAGCAAATTTAAAAGAGAAGAAAATGGTTTTAGTTCTATCCCATCAAAGCAAATGGAGATAACATGAGGGAATTCCATGCTCACATTCACAACATTCAATAATGCTAAAAAAATACCTAGACATAGATATCTAATCCTAAAAGGAAATATGCAGGATTTATATGAACAAAACGACAAAAACCCATTTGTTGTTGTTATTGTTAAGTGTCATAGTGTCAGTTCCAACTCACAGTGACCCTATATTGGGTTTTGGAGGAGCAACTGGTGAGCATGAACTGTCGACCTTACAATTCAAACCGACTTTGTAGTCCAACACATTAACCTACAGCGCCATACCAGGGCTCCAAAATTCATTGACCGTTAGAGAGTCTTAAAAACAAAAAATTAGACCAAGTTCTTAATAGCATAATCCGATTAATTCTCTTCAAGCTAATACAGTTGTTCCTTGAACAATGTGGGGGTTAAGGGTGTCTACCACCATGCAGTTGAAAATCTGCATATAACTTTCGACTTCCCCAAAATTTAATAACAAAAAGCCTACTACTACGAATCGGGCTGCGAACCTTAAGGTTAGCAGTTCGAAACTACCAGCCGC